GAGCCCTGGCCTTGGCCGAGACCACCGAGTACTTATTGGTCTGGGCAGCACCTGAGTGATCACCTGGAGCGGCCACCAAACTCACTTCATTCCGAACAAAAAGTTTTACAAAAATTACGGCACTCTCCTCTCCTCAAATCAAAGAAAGCGGAACTGATAGGAAATGTTCGAAATTTTAACAAAATGATTTTCAATAAAATTTGACGAAAAATTTAAGAAATTATGATTTTCTAAAAAATTTTAAGCTGTTGATTGATGCATTCAAAAAAATTGAGGGTAAACAATTGAAAAAAATAAGCAACAGCAATCGAAAAATTTGAAAAAAAAAATTAAGAAAATCCCAATTCAAATGAATATTTTATATCTTTAAAAATAGACAATATAAATAATAAAATGAACTAATTTTTAACTTAAATTAAAAGTAATTTATGCACTAAAGGTCATTAAACTGCAAACTAACAGGAGGAAGGAAAGTCGGATGCAAATTATGAGCTAAACGTGGTCGCCCCGAGGGTCACTCGCGAGTGCCGCTCACCTGTTGACCCGTCCGGCACCTTCTGGCGGTTCCGGTCGGCCACCTGGCGGTACCCTGGTCCTGAGTTGGACCACCAGGCGCACAGCAGCATCGCCATGGCTGGACTGAGTGAGGTCTTTCTTTCTTTGGTCGGCTCGACGGCTTTCTGGAAGCCACACCGCCGCCGCCGCCGCTGCTTGGACCTTTTCTTTTTTGCAACTACTCGCGCCGCGCTGCCCGTGAATGTACCGAAGCAGTCGGTGTCTCTCGGACTGGGTCGGCTCTCGTGAGTCTTTACACGCCAAGCCTCTGCCTATTCGGTAGGCGGATTATAAACCGTTTTCCCGTAAATTTGCAAATTATATTAAAATCGGTTAGCAAAATCTTAAGAAAAAGAGTGATCTGAACACAGAGTTATTCATTTTTTATTGAATTTATATCATGAGTGTTAAAATTTAAAAGAAAATGGACATATTTTTATAACTGACAATTAAAATAAAATTTTTTCATTATTACAAAAATATTTTAGTTTTAAAGTTTTAAACTATTATTATATAATATTTTAAAATTTTAGAAAATAAATAATGTTTGTTTTATTTTTATATTTTATTTTAAATAAAAAAATTCAAACTAGTGTTTATGAAATATTTAATATGAAATTAATAAGAACCATTATATTTTAATAATATCATATTCAAACTCATTTTTTTATAAAGTGCAAAGAAGTTAATCACTTTTGCTCATATACTTACACCTAATAATCAAGAGTTTTCTAAATGTCTAGTAGTTGTAAAGAAGATTAATTAAATTGGATTATAAATTGATTAAACAATTTTTAAAAAAAACTGTGTGATTATTAAAAGTTGCATTGTTTATTGATTGTAAGTTCCTTATCAGATTGTGAATGAATTTAAAGAAATTGATCATTTTTTACTGGAAAATATTTTTATTTTCCAAATTTTTGCTATTAATTTGTGCAACCCTGTCCCAATAAGCATCACAGGCGTGTCTGAGTCACCCGGTTGGGGCCGAGCACCGCAAAAGAGAGGCGAACGTATTTACGCATGTATAGTCGGAATCGCCGGGTCGATCTTCCTCCTCTTGGGAAGGTAATAAAACTGGCAGTATGACCCGAATATTGATTCTGGCCGACAGCCGAAAATGAAGAGGGCAGGGAAATGAAGATGCAAGACGTAAATTTAGACAAAAACGTGAAAGGAAATTAAATATCTTCTACTGCAAAATAGATAACTAACAAAAAAATTTAAAAAACAACTTATTGAGCAAGTTAAGAGCTATTTTTATGTGGAAGAAATTAGTGGAAAACCACTATTTTATTCTACTTTTTCTCGATTATTGCTTTATTGAATTCTTTTCATGCATCACATAAAAGGAGGTTTTTATTTAAATCGAAAACTATCTGCATCCATGCCATTTGCTATCAGCGATGTGACATCACTTAATGAAAAAAAATCACTTTTTAAAAAATGGAGATAATTTTTTTGAAATTGATGAATGGCAATGGACTTTTTTAACTTGATATACAAACATTTGAAGTAAATAGTAATCCATAATTTTTATTTCCAGTGACAGGAAAAATAAGGGCAACGCAGAATGGAAAAATCAACAAACCACACCATTTTGTACTTAATTTGTTATTTTCCATCAGCTAGGTGTGTTTCGAGCGTGCAAAACAGCCGCAAAATCCAATTTTCACCCGTCTGATGGCCGCAGCATTTTATCGGCACCGTTTTTTCTGCGAACTGCCACATGAACGATACGCAAACAAAAAGGAAAAAACTCGAGCAGGGAGTGGCGAAGAGGATAAAAAAAAAAAAACACCCGAAATCTTCCAGGGCTCGTATAATTTTATGCGAAGAGCCCAAACACGGAATTAGATTGTTATTTAGCCGAGGCGCCGCATTATCATCTTTATTTTTTAGCCCTTTTTCCACAATGTAATTGAATTAGAGAATGAGCTGGGCTGAAAAAGATATGCAACACACACGACAGTCACTTCTTTTCATCACATATGTGCCTTTTTCGCTGCTCTGTCTCTTTTTGCTGTAAATAAAATAGCGAACTAGTTTTGTGGCTCTGGCTGCTCCATCCGTGTGCAATAATTTTTTCCGCGCGCCGAGTATCGATCCGTGGACCAGAGCTACATGTTTCCCTCTCTGTCTGGAATGAGAATAATGAGGGGCTTGGACGAGAGCCACAAAGATCGCGGCTCTTTCGCAGGGCTGTACAAAGGACGTGACTACTGTGTTTACTTCAAAAGAGAGGCAAAAGGCTAATTCGCTGAAAGCAGCATAGTTTTCCAAAGGGAGAATTACAAGCAGGGAGCATAGAAATAAAAGTAAAAACAAGACAAAAAATCTTTTTATGAATAAAAAATGGAATGGATAAAACTTCAAAGGATTCTATTTAATAGAAGAAATAAAAACATTCAATTGTTTGTTTGGTTTCTTTGAACAAGTGAATAATTTGTTTATAAATACAATTTTAATTCAATGATAAGTTTTACATTAATTTAAGAATTTGCGTGACTCAAATTTGTAGAGCAAACAAGAAAATAAACATAATTCAAAGGTAATTTAAATTATGGTTTAAATTTCAATCCACCTTCAAATGTAAAAAACTTTGAATAGAGTTTGATTTGAATGTTAGTTTACAACACGAGTGTTTAAAAAACCAAATAGCACTCAAATTGCAATCATGTAAAGTTTAAAACAAAATTTTCAACGTAAAAATTCATATTAAATATTATAAAAAATATGAGCAGCAATTGACTGGTTCTTTTTCGGCAACATTTATCCTCCCTCTACATATTGTTCATCCTTATGAATTTTTGTTTAAAATATAAACTTTGCGCCTCTCTTGCTGCCTCTCAGCTTCCTGAACAAGTTCAACCGAGTACCTAGATGACATTTTGCCTCTTCTCTCTCCACCTATCCGTCGCTTTATTGAGTTTGTGCTTTTGGCGTATGCTAAAATATCGTGCAGTCCGCACACGAGACGTAAATAATTCAAGAGATGACTACACTCGAGCGCCAGCTGACCTCTCACACACATTCGACCCGGTCTTTCATCCGCTCGAATTCCTCTCTAGACCGGATTTTCGGACCAAAAAGGTTTGTACGGCGATTTAATTTGAAACGACGTGGCAAAGGATAAGACCGAGATGAAAGACGGATTTTCCTCTCACGAAGAGAGGCTTTTGTCGTTTTGGGAAAAGAAAAGGTTATGGTTCAGGGGGATTACGAAGTATGCACGATGCGTTGCACGCATGTCGAGCCGGTTGCATAGCAAACGTGAATCCAAAGTTGTGAAGCATAAAAAAAGTAGAAAAAAAAACCAAAAAATGATTGAATCCGAGAAAGTGTCAGAAAACAATCCTTCATAAATAGAAAGATGAATACTTGAAGAAATTATCTAAATTATTTTTCCAAATCTACCAGTTATTATTGGTTCAAAAATTCGTTAACGAAAAATATTTTTGCTTTGATGCTAATATCATTGCACCTCAAAAGAGTGTTTATTCAACAGTCTTTTTTTGGCCTCCATAACGCACAGCTTAAAAAATAAAACGTTTGCAAAAACGTTTCCTTCCACATCAAAGAGATAAAATAAAATGGATGAGCTTGGTCCTGCACATTGCTTTATCCGAGGTATAAAGCTTTGGATTTATGTTTTATTCACATCATTGTTTCATTTGTGCAGTCCTTTGAAAAAAAAATTGGTTTTATCACTTGCAAATCAAATTTACCAGCATATAAAATGTGCAATATTACGTGAGTTTTTTAACTATTAAATTGTTAAATAAAATTGAAAATAATAGCAGCAATTCATCACTTTGAAAAACTTATATTATGTCAAGAAACAATCAACTAAGTAAATTGTTTAAGGGGATAAAAAAAAGATACATATAATTCATAACATATATTTGAAATAGCATTGCAGAGACATCTCCAACATTTTCAGTCTAATTAAAAATTTCCATTTACTAAAAAGTCACTAACCAATGTTTTAAAAGAATGATCAACATCTAAAACGTTGAATGCGTCAGTCACTCAAAAATTAAATTAATTTAATAAAATAAAAATGCAAAACTTATAATTTTATAAGTACTTATGTTTTAAACACTGTATAATTCTTTATAATCTGTAGATTAAAAATTATTTCCGAATAAACGACGCACCAATATATATTGATGTTTCCATGCAAAATTCAGGGGAAAAAACAGGGCGCAGTAAAATTGTGTGCGACATCCCGGCCGTAAATTCGCTTTTGCATAAATTGGTTCTACTTTAAAACGCGAGCGCTCGCATTCATTATTCACGCGGAGAAAGACGAGGCGCGCCTGAAGCAACCATACCCCGTGTGTCGTGCATTAAAAATTAACCCCGTCCAACAGGGTGCGGACGCAAAGTGTGAAGCGACCCACTTTCGGTTTGAACCACCCTGACGCCATCTCTGTACTCACCTCTGAAGCTGACGTAGGACGGTCCTCGGCGCGGGTGGTTGGCGAACAGGATTCGCTGGATCTCACCGGCCTCACTGCCAGACTCGGACTCGGGGGCCTTGGGGGCCGTTCGACGGCCGCCCCCGAGCAGCCACGTGCGCGCCTCTGGTACTGGGGGCAGCGGTTTGTGGAAGAAAACGGAATCGCTGCTCACAGGACGCCTGCTCTGTCTGGGCACCGGCGTGCCATTTCCATTGACTTTGTTCTGCACGTTTGAAGAGGGCAGGGTCGAGAAACTGACCCTCTTCGGAGAGGTCGGCGTCCCATTCATTTTGCGCGCCGCCTTCACTTGTTCTGCGTTCAACGAGTAGCTGCGACGCATCATCTGTTGCTGCAGACTCGGGGACTGTTGTTGCGGCTGCGGAAAGGTTCGGTTGAGGGAGGCTGAGGTTCCCACCGAGTTTCGGAAAGGTCCGTTTCGCACCAGGTGGCCGTTGGTCAGGCCGTTTTGAATCTGCTCCTGCAACTGCAGACGGTAGTTCTGCTCGCGGAGAAGATGCTGATAACGCTCCATTTCATATCTGGAAACAAAATTATTGATAATTAAATATTGATCGAGGTTATTTAAAGTAAAGATATGTATCTTAAATAAATAAGGAGCATTTAAAATTTCAATATAATCATTTAATTTCTCAAAGATTATACTTTTGAGAGCTGCTACATCAAATTTTTTTTAGCAAAATTCTTGTTTTGTCCAACAATTGAATGTTCTCTCCGTTCAAAAATTTATTATTATTTAATATGTAATCTATAATATACGTTTTGTAACAATGGGACAAATAAAGCAGCAATAATTCAATAAACCTTGGTCTATTCCTTAAAGACTCTTCTTTTAACATAATTTAAATTCCAATGTAATTTTATGTACATAATAGATCTGGAGAATTGAATTAATTTTTATTTAAGTATTTTTTAATCTTATTTTTAATACTTCACAAATCAGTATGATATATTTCAACATTTTTATAATTTTTTATAAAATAAATAGTAATTTTTAATATTCAAAATACATATGTTGTTTGAACCATATAAGCTTGATAGTGAAATTATTGAAAAAAATTAACTTTATTTTTGCAAAGCTTGTTTTGGCCGCATTATTTTTTATTAATTGGTTTTATCCTTTGCTCGAAGCTTAGAGATTTGACTTTTTATTCAATTTTTTAATCGATTTAATTCATGCATGGAAACATTGGAAACTTTCCAAAAATGCAAATTTATCCATTCTCTTATTAAAATTATATGAGCACACGATTCTGTTAACAAATAAAATGCAATGTAAAAAAATATCACGCTTGATCCTTATTCGAAAAAATAAAAATTGTAAAAAAGTTTTGCCTGAAATTAGCATCCTGAATTAAATTAAGGAGCGATATCAAATTTAGATGTGCATGTATAATTTTAATAAGGTGTGCTGCATTTTAGAATGTTTATTTTTTTTTTAAATAATTGTAAGAAATATTTCAAAAATGTCAAATTGAAAATTCAGAACAATTGGATTGAAAAGTAAAAACTGACCTGTTGGTCGGCGACGTGAGGTTGTTTCTGATGACAACGTTGTTGAGCGGCGCCGGCTTGATCACTCTGATGACGTTCTGCTGGCGCAGATTGACCGAGTGCTCGTGGCGCTGCTTGTTCCTGAGGATGCCGTCCAGCTCGTCGTCCGTCGTGTCGTAGCCCTTGGTGGGCGCCGGTTGCGGCGAGTTTGCCGTCAGGAAGGCCGTCTCGTGGACAGGCATCTCGCGCAGCTGCCGAACAGCTTTTTCGTGGCGCGCGAGTTCCTGCACCAGGTCGGCGTACGCGTCCGGATTGTCTGAGGAAGATCGACTGCTCGAGCTTCCCGACTCGGACCTGCACAAAATAATTTACCAAAATAAAGAGAAAGGTCAATTTTAGCAAAAATAATTGTTTTAATTCCCATGACCTGTAGGGGGTCTTGAACTAAACTGCTTATTATGTCTTTCTTTCGTGTCACATGTTTTCATGTAATTTACGCATCGCCGCTTTTTTATGCCTGCTGCTTGTTTTGAAACTGAACACCACAAAAACTTGTAAAATATGCATACAGTTAAGTTTAAGTAGGGTAAAAATTACCTCTGAAACTTGTTGGCGTGAAAAACTTTAACAACGTTGTCAATGTAAAAATTTAATAAAATAAAAAAAATCATGTCTAGCTTATTTTTTAATTTAAATAAATCTCAAAAAATTCCCAGCAGAGAAAACTCTTAATTTTAATAGTTTTCAGTTTGTATTTTAAAACAATGTGTGAGTTAATGCTTTAAAAAACAAATATAAATAAATAATAATAATAATTTTACCTATTTGCGTCGTTTTTATCCTCCTCTTCTTGAGTGATGCGTGGCGGACTGGGTTGTTTCTTTTGGAAAACGACCTTGTACTTGGCCTTGCAGCTCTTCAGCAACTCGCTTAACTGGGGGTGGTTGACCCCTTTTGGGCCGCGCACCGTCGGTGGTGGACTTTTGATGGACCCCAGAGGGGCGGGAACTCTTGGGGCCGTCGGGTGCGCCAAAGAGGCCAAGTCCTTTCCCAACTTGAGCTCTTCGACCGTTGGTTCGATGAAAATGTTTTTCCGGTCCACAGATTTCTCCGACGCTTTCTCCTCCTCCCTCGAATGGCCCTTTTTGATTCCCTCGGGAGGAAAAAGGACCAGCAGGGTGGGCACTTTGTTGTTCAACTTGGTCCTGGGCGCCGGCACGGGGGCGTCCGAAAGGTGCTCTTCGGGCGACCTGGGCACGTGCAGGACGATGTTGGCTTCGCTCTTGCAGAGCGGAGCTTCTCCTCGCTTGCTCTCCGCGGACGCACTGGTGCTCTTCTTGTCGGGGTCGCTGTCACAGCCGTCTGCCATGCTGGAGGAGCCAAGGCGTGGGCACCGCTACGCATCGAGCCTGCAACAGCCAACGCAGTACGTGCTTAGTTTATGCAAAACTTCAAAGAATACTTGGAGATATGTAAATGCTTGGTAGTTTAATTTGCCAAAATGTATAATTTTTAAAAGAGTTTTTCACTCCAAAGTTCATTTTAATGGATCTTCTTGGAATGTGAATTATTTTCATTTAAAATATTATTATTACACAAGAAATTGAAAAATTTTAATTTATCACAACAAATTTAATTTTTATCAAAACTTTTATGTTACAATGAATATTATAAGACCTTTTATTGCATATTTTTGCATGGAATTATTCTATTTTTCCTGTTTTCCGTAATATTTAGTAGTAATAAGAACAAAATTAATATTAAGCAAATAATTTTATTTAAAAAAAAAAAGTTGATTTATCTACTAGAAAATCATAAGGATATCGTTAGCCTGCTTTGCTCTGTTTAATGAAAGATGTGCCATTTTAAATTTATCTTGAATAGGGAAATTATCACAAGTTTTGGAACAAAAATTTAATTGAAAAATATTTTTATTTCGGAATTAATTATTCATAAAGAGTTTATCTTTAAAAAATTATCACTCTTTAAGAAACAGAATCGCATTAAAAAAATTAAAATCATCCGTTTTCATTATGAAATTGTTCCTGAGATCACCCAATTATGGGTATTGTCTGTTTTAAAAATTGAAAACCGTAAAATCTCAAAAGGCAGGCAAGGCAACAGCACTAAACTAAACTCGCCAAATTCAAAGCCATCTGAGGCAATATTTGTTGAAGTTATTGACTGTGTTGTTTAAGCTATTTAAATTAATTAAATATTAATTGTTTGTGCAGGATATAAAATTATCGTGGTTGAGGAAACTGGCTCCCATTAGTCTGACTAAATGTACTTGTACAAAATTGTTAACATCCCTGTCACTATTGATCGAAGTTTTAAATGTATATTTTGGATCATTTGTATCATCCTAATTGAGAAATCACGGATTTTTTTTTTTAATTTGTCAGTACGTGAGAAATAAGCGTGGAAATGAAACTAAATAAAATAAAATATTTGAAATTAAAAAAAAAATTATATTTAAATTAATATTTGGAATTAATTTAAATCTGTAAAAAGAAAAGGTTTATTATTATTACAAATAAAATATTTATACAAATCATTATCACTTATTTTCAATTATTTCTGTTGTTTATTTGTGGACATAATTGAAAATACATTGTTTGCATTCAATAAATTCCTCAACAATTTAGACTTTTTCTGCTTGAAAACAAGAACCAATTCCCTCATTTCCTGAAATATTTCCAACTAAAATTTAGTGTAAAAGTGTTTGTCTTTAATGGGATATGTGTATGTAACGTTTACTTTTTTTACCTTAAAATTAGTGCTAGAAGTTCCCGAAGCTACATGTATATTTTCATTTTATTTTAACAACAAATCAAATCGAAAATATAATTATAGATTTTGTGGAATTTCTTTCTTAGTACTTGTTCCTTTATTATTTATTCTCATCATAAAAAAAAAACAGATTTTTAATGAAATAAATTTTATTTGGTAGTTAGAGATGATATATTTTACTAAAATCTAATTTATTCAAAAAAGTTTGTATATCAATAATATTGAATCCAGTAATAAGTAAAAAAATTGTATAGATCCTCCAAACATGGATATAAATCTCAGTTTATATGCCACATAAGTTCATTTGAATTTTAATATTCCAGTTTGAAAATTTATAATAGAGAAGTGTTATTGAATAAATGAAACTTACTTTATATTTGCTTTTAAAATTTCTAAATTGATCTATTAATTGACAAATACTTAGTTAACAGCATTCAAGTGGAAACTTTGATTTGATTTCAGTATTAAAAAATATATTTTATTTCAATTATCAAGAGATCGGACACAAAAATGAATGCCGTAGCATATGCAATAAATTAATTTTACATTCGGTAGAAGAAGACAATGAAAATGTCACATTCAATATATTCGATTGATCAACTCTCATTAAGCCAGACAGAGCAGAACGGAGAACCAGTCAGTCTGACGTTCTCTGCTGCTTCTCACGCCGTATTAAATATATTCTTTCTTACTTTCCTCCCCATCAATCGGAGCAGAGAGACGCACAAGAAATGAAACAGTAAATGTCGGTCCCCTTGACGATTACAATACAAAAAAGGGGGACGCGGCAAAGTCACATACGTACGCACAAAATGCATAAAGAGGAACATCTCCATGGCACGCACTGGACTCGCGGCAAACGTGACTTCATGCCCAAGGGCTGGCTGAGCAAACAGATTAGGCACACATTCTGCTACGCGCGCCCTTGAATAATTATAATCGGACTGAAGAGAGAAAGACCCTCCCTAGCTCTGCCACCAGCAAGTCAAGCAAAAAAGCGCATTATTCTTGATGGAAGGTATATTATGTAAAATCTGCACAAATTAGCAGCAGCTGCGAATGACGAAAGGGAAAGCAGTGGCGCGAAAGGGAGAGAAACAGACTGAAATAATATACAAACCGCGTCTCTTTGGTTGACACGAAGCTTGATAAGTGACCAGAGTAGGATATAAACAACAATGAAAGGGACGGTAAACAAGATCTGGGAGAACTTGATGCAATTTGAATTGGAAAAAAGAGGAATTATTTAGAATTACTTTAAAAAAAAAACATGAAAAAGATGATTTTAGCTTTAATATTGTTCAAGTTCACAGATATATTAAAAGTGCAGATTTTGGAAAAATTTAATTGAATTAATCAAGAAAATAACGGTTTCGTTATCATTTTAATGAAGATAATTAAGAAGAAGAAGTAGTCTTATTATTAAGACATAATGTGTAGAATTCTGGGGAAGAAAACCAATAAATTTTAAATTTGAATATCATGAACGTTTCAAAGGTTAAAATCGAGTCTATATAAATAAACAAAGATTTTAAAATCTAAAAAAATTGCATCCAATAAAAATTAATAGCTTAAAAATAAAAAAATGTGATTATTGATGTTATTTTTAAAATTCATTAATCTTCATTATATTGATACAATTAAACTTAAAAATTTATTTACATTTTAAAAAGTTGCAGCTGCAAAAAAAATTTCTATGTACTTTTTCACTTTTTGCAATGAACAAATTGGTTTATATCATCTCTTTGAATGTAAAGTGAGTAAATTATCACTTTCGGAAACATCGAAAATCAAACTTTGAACAATTTATGTGCATTTCTTTGAGTGTTATTATATAACATGCATGTATACGTGCGCCGTTGGTGTTCAATAAATATTTCATTCATCATTATCATTTTAATTTTGAGTATCCTTTATTTATTTGGACTTTCTCATAATTATCATAATTATTGCAAATTAATTGCTTTTATTTAATCACTTTTATTATTAAATTAAAAAAAATTGCAAGTTGCCAAAATGAGACAGAAAGTCATCAACAAAGAAATAAATATTTACTAAAAATTATGTCTCTATTAAGGTCCAAATTTGATATATGAATTTCAAATTTTAATAGGATTTAAAAACAATAAGTTAATTATAAACACTTTCTCACACAAGCATTTTTGTATGTTCTCAGATTTTTTTCTTTTCATTTGTCTTTTGCATTTTGACTTGAGCGCTTCATTTTTCATCATTATTCCCATCACTTGCGAATGCTTGCGAGAACAGAATTGTATAAAAAAAAAAATGATTTCATTTTCACTTGGCTGCCTTCGATGGAGTCGTGCCATCGGTTGAGAATAATATACGTAATGGCATTATTGTTGTATGTTATATTTATACACCCATCTTATGCGTTTCATTCCAGAAATGTGAGAAGCTCTCGGCTTCAGTCACTTAATATCTCAAAACAGCGAAGGCATTTCGTTTTGACATTTGAGACCGACATGTGTGTGTGAACCAGGAGGGAAAGTCAGTAACCGCTACGCATTGTGATTTTGCGTTACTCCCAATTTTTTAATTGCACAGATCTTGATCTAATTTTATTCGATATACAAATTGCGAACTTGATATTCTGCATTAAAAGAAGGATTAGAATTATTTATTAAAGATATAACTTTGTTCTAAATTTTGTAGTAGTTCAGGGAAAGTACGAAAAGGACCACAATTTACCGTTTTATTCAAAATTAATTTTCAAAATATAAATTATTGCAATTTTTTGTACCATTCATTAAAATTTATGTAAGTAATATTTAATACGTAAAACAGGGGGAGAAAATTATATAGAATAGTGACTTTGAATTCCTAGGCGCAGTGAATAATGGATTTCTTGCATGTTTCAGCACTCAGCTGCTCATTTGAGGATATCGGAAGGTTGAATTTAATTGGCGGCCCGCGGCTGCCGTGAAGATTTTCTAGAGAAAGAACTCGCACGGCAGGTGGTCTATTGAGGGATACACCCCTTAATCTACTTGGAATTACTCTCCTAGCCCACATTAAAGCTCTCTCGCACATATTTCGTGTTTTAGTGGCAAAAATTCAGGCCGGCGGCTCTTTTGAACCCCGCTTTTTATTATTCTTGTCTTTCTATTTTCATTCGCCCATTTGTGTATTCAAAGACGTCTGCCGATTATTTATGTTCCTCCGACACTTTTGAAATTCGTGTTCAAACACAGAATATCACATTTCTTTTGAGAAATAAACAGAAGCGAAAGGAATGTGGCGATAAATTTGTGTATTTTAAACTCGCCCCAGCAATGTAAATTCTTTTATCGGAATGGAGATTTTCCTTTCTTCCGCAACACGCATTTTCAATCAGAAAGGGTTACAAGGAAATGGTCTCGGTCAGCAGGGCGCCGGTGCTGGTAAGTGAACGCCGCCGCATTATTATCTCTTCCTTTATCTTTCTTGCGTAACACATTCACTTTTCTTTCTGGCTCGAACCGCGACCTGAGACGGCGAGAGACGTTCTTAAAATTAGTAACATGCAAGTGTGCTTATCAGTTAAGTCTGAAAGAAAGGGAAGGGGAGTGCAATTGACCGCCAGCTTAAGCAAACTTGTAACGTTTACAGGTTA